TGTATATTTTATATCAAGCTCACCAGTACCGACATAGGAATGGAAATTGCCATTGCTAATTGACAGAACATCGTCAAATTAATATAAAATAATCTATAATATAATAATAATAATACATCAAATCATCAGAGGTGAAACAAGTGGTGAAACCATAAGTCGACCGGTTACACCTGCCGTGTGTTCCTTGTCGTGATTGGGTAACAACGGAAAAATAAGTCGCCAACTCAGCACAGTGTGAAAACGATGGACCAATTTAATGGTCAAAACGAGGAATCCTTATATAATATAAAACATTTCTATACTTTTTTCAAATAAAAGTTTTTGAAGTTTTAGATTGATTTTTCTTAAATAAACATGAATTCAGTCCGTTTAAATTTTCACCGATATCCATGCACTCCAGCAAGTTTGAAGGTATCGTCCAATAAGCAGTATATGTTTTGTACCAACTATAAAGTAACGAAAATTATTCGCATAAAACATTTTTAAAATGAATAATCATTCGCCCCAATTTCATTTTAATTCCTGAAAGTAATTCATATTAAACATTCTTACCTAGGGGTGCTACGATACCTTGCAAGATCAGATTTTGACATACGGGAATGTGTTAAAACTTTATAGGAGTTGGAATTACAATCCTATCAATTGAGGTAACACTGGAGGATATTTTTTTCATTTAAATGATAACGTATATATTGGTGGCATTTTCATATTACTACTCATAAAACCGTGTATCATATTAATTAAAATACTTAAGACAAATGAAAGATGAAGTAAACAAAAACATGTAGAATGCTTGAAAGATCATTGCAACTGTACAAATTGTAGGTAGAGCAAATTGAACTCGAACCTCTGAAGCATGGAAGCTATAAACAATATGTAAACATCCCTACTCATTATATTTTAATGTTCAAGTCTCATAAAACAGAAACTTTAGTTTGTGCGATTAATATGCGAAAATTTAATTAAGAGTTACCTGTAATGAGTTTTAATTCGTATTTTCTTGCAGCAGGAGAATTCCATCGGCATCGAAAGCAAGTTTTTTGACATGCCTAGATAGCCGAGCGGTCTAGTGCGCTGTTCCTGCAATGCTAGGAGACAGATTCCGAAGGTCGAGAGTTCAACCCCGGGCTTGGGCGGAAGTGGGTATCCATGTAAAAGTTAATTTCTTTGTGCTTTCTATATTAATATTTCTTCACTTAGGGCAGTTATGTTAGCTTAAGAGTTGTTGTAAAATGTGCTTTATATATATATATATATATATATATATATATATATATATATATATATATATATATATATATATATATATATATATATATATATATATATATATATATATATATATATATATATATATATATATATATATTTATATATATATATATAAAGCACATTTTACAACAACTCTTAAGCTAACATAACTGCCCTAAGTGAAGAAATATTAATATAGAAAGCACAAAGATATATATATATATATATATATATATATATATATATATATATATATATATATATATATATATATATATATATATATATATATATATATATATATATATATGTACTATTGGTACAATCTTATCCTCACAATATGTTTTCCGCACAAAGTGAAACTTTTGCTCAAAAAATAGATTCCCCCTGGAAAAGAACATGCCAGGACAATTTTACATTTGTGGAATGTATACTGTGATGTAACCAGAAATTGTTCTCTTAACGTGACGGGCGCATGGCCGATTTTCTTAATTTTTACATAACTTTTTTTTGGAAAAAATCTTAAAATATCACGGATTTATCATGGATGCACAATAAAGTGAATAGGTGTTATCAGGAATTCTATATAGTCCCTGAAATTTAAGAAATCTCTTTGTTTCTAATCCTTAAGGGCATATGTATATAGTGTTTTCATTTAGAAAATACGTGTATATTTTGAACTTTTTTTTTTTACACATTTTACTAATAGTGTTTACACAGTGTTTTGTGTGAATCGTGAAATATAAACACTTTCAGAGTAAATGCCAATCAGAAAAAGTTAGAAGTGTTCAATAACTTATTGTAGATACAAAGGCCTTTACTCGTTTATTTTCCATTAGGAATGGTTGATGATAAAAAAAAAAGATTTTGTCCAGAAGCTCTTTTCTGTTAAACGTTGATTGCCAAAAGGCACACATCAAGGAGGATTGCTTCACTAACTTTTTTATCGAGTATTTCAGGAACCGCTATTAAATTATGGTTTCAGCTTTGTACGATCAATATTAGTTTGATAGCTATGTTTTGTATTGTTATTCCCCGTTTCTACGTCTCCATATGATTGAAAAATTCTCGAGAGGGGCGTTGAACAATATATATCAATCAATATTCCCCGTTTCTTCTAGGAAAATATACACGTGTATTTTATTTGATGGTAAAATGCTTTATAGAGTTATAGGGGAATGAGTGGACCGCCGGATATTCTAGTACGGTTTGTACGGTATAATTACAAGGCTACAGTTTACTAAAACAAATCCAATCTCAAAGAGTTCAACAAAAATCAAAACAATCGGTATAAAATCTTTACCAATGAAGCCCTTACTCAGCTGCGTGCAATCTTGTTTGCCAAAGTTAGACTAGCGCTCAAAAAACAGATTATAAAGGGATGCTGGACAACAGATGGGAAAATTTTCATCAAAACACACTATGACAAACGAGTGATTATTAGGTCACAAGATGATCTTGACACACTCACCTCTAACAAACAAGTGAAGAGTGACTCCGAAACAGGACGTAGGAATGGAAATTACTATTGTTAATTGACAATATGTCGTCGATATATCTAAATGTCAGTTGAATTCCACAGCAGGTGTTTTCTTCTTTTCAAAAATAGGTCTGCTAATTACAGAGTTCAATAGGTACCCATTGGAATTCCAATAGATTGTTGGAATACCTGGTCTCCAAAAAACGCATAGATAATGTCGATCAGAAACTCAAACATCTCTTTGATGTCAACTTCAGAATACTTGTGTGTGCAATCAGAAGGTGTGTTTTAACAAAATATTTTGTCGAATGACCAATGACCAGATAAGTTAATCTACGAGTTCTATTTTTAGCTGTCAATGATATCAAAAAGCCTGGACATCCTGCACAAGATAGCCTATATCCTGTACAAAATAGCTCTCGTCCTGTACAAGATAGCCGATATCCCAAATACTAGTACTCGTATTTAATACACATTTAGTTGTGAATGGATCTCTTAACAAAATCACATGAAACACGTAGATAATGACAGGGATTCTATTAACTGAAACGTTTGATTAACATTGCTTGTATGCTGATTGGAGTGAAAACATACGTATTTGAAACTAAGTAGGAATTTCTGTTTGAAAATTCTTTTCATCTTCTTTTGACAATTTGCTAGTCATTTGCATTATATGATACACTTTGAATGATGCCAACGGAAACATCTTACCTAAGCAGCACCGTGAAATTCCAAAAATCACGTTTTATTCGTACTTCCTTCAATATCTAGCATACAACTTTTGTATGCATTTTTTAGAATATATTTCCAATGAATAAATGGAGAAAACTACCAGTATTTAAGCTAAGGGTTCCAGAAAACCATGGAGGGATGAGCATCCCTTGCTGTTCGGTCACACACGCAGTGTGCTTCTTGTCATGATCGTGAAATAAGGGAGGGGGATCTATCGTCATTCATTGTGTAAAATATATGAATATAATTATCAGTATTCAAGATCAAAAGTACATGAAGCAATATGAAATAGGAGAAGAACAAAAACGGACCTCAAAATATCGGAGGTGGGATCGAGTGTAAATAATGGACTAACAATTAGTATGAAAAACGTCAGTCGGCATTTATTTGATTAAATGATAAATTGTATTTTCCTGACAAGGTCATTGTATCGACCAAGATACTTGAGTAAACCGCCATACAATTTCTTCCATGCCAGTTTTTATTCAATTTTAAAAAAAAATTAACCCTAAACTTTTATTTGTAGAGGAGTTTATCCACATTATTTAATAAAAAAAAAACTGTTAAATCTTTCTTTTGTCTTTCGTTTTTAGATTCAGATATACTTTATACATTGTCTGACTATCTTAGTGAGTTTTTTTTTTTATTTCAGAACCCTATAAAAATTGTTCTTTTTTTAAATTGAAGTACTTACAAAGTACTTTGAAAGATTGAGAAAAGAGTTTCTACAAAATGAATTAAGAAAAGGAGCTCAGCTGATCGTAGATTCAAAAAGTTCAATGTAAATAGTATCTACCATAGATTTGCTAAATGTGGACTTTTGAGGGAGTTCTTCAATAACCTGTTCCATCAACTTAGTGGCCTACCAAGTTCTAGAAATTATTTTTACGTAGTGCATGGTCTTTGAAATCTTATCTGCTCCATATGCAGGTGGTAAATATATGAAGAACGTTGACGATAGAATAGAAGATGTGTAATAGCTGGTTTTACAACAAATTCTTTTTCCTGTTTTATCTAACTTTGAGGTGATTGTGTAACAATTTATATTTTTTTTCGATATCATTTGATTTCTCGGGTATAAAAGGATCCAAATATGAAACAAATATTTCAGACTCTATAGTACCTTTTTTCAAGTTCACCGGGGTATATCGTATGGACATAAAAATGAAAATAACCATATTAACCGAAGAATCGTCGTCGATATATCTAAATGTCGAGTTGAAAGCCATGTATCAGATTTGAGATATATTCTGCTCCAACCAAATACAAAAATAAGCCCACTAGTAATGGGGTGCACTTGGTGAATATTTGTTCGTAGTACAGAATTTGAACATTACCAGCTTGATTGAGTACAAGACAAGGTTTTCTGTGACTTAAATTAAGTGTTTTTTAGATGACGTGTGTTCCTTTTGATATTAAATTTATAGAATACTGTGTTCATTGAAAATGAATAGTGAAAAAACAGAATGGCCTGCATATTAAAACAATGAATCATTTTTAGCGAAGTGTTTATGTATTTAATCAACAACAGCATCAAATAATGAGTACACAATACAAGTTACAGGTGGAATATTCCGTAAACATGATTATTAGATTGCCAGAATTTGTCCTTGTTTCTTACCTTCAATGTTTCAAAAGTTCATTTACAAATGCATTTCGTGTTTTATGGTTTTGCAATTATCATAATCTGAAAGACTTTATATACAGGGCAAAAATGATACAAAAGATATAGAAGAAGGATATGGAGATAACGAACAGTATTCAGTCTCAAAGTCCATAAAACCATACAAAATAAGAAAAAAGTTCTTGATATCATTTGGAATATAATTAAGTTCCCTCTTGCTTAATGTGAGGTTCAACGAGCTTGTTAAAACATTGCTTTTTGTTCTTGCAGTCTAAAAATTTACCTGTAGCCGTCCGATATTAGTGAGCAGTCTGATATTAATAGTAATATCAGACTGTCTCAATGCTGATATCCTTCAAAATTGGACTGCTACAGAACAAAAGAAATAAAAAGTGTGATAATTTAACAAACAGCAATTTAAATTTCTCACATAGAATGGTGATTCAGAAATATTGATATCACAGTAGTGTGAAATATATTTTTTAAAACAGGTGATGCATGTTTCTGATTTTAATGTATATTTAATGCAGTCCACAGTTACATGTACTTGAGTAATTGATAGAATTTGAAAGGGTATCGTTTTTGTTCGATTTTCATGCGACTATCAGTTTTTAAAATATTCTCGACTATCGTCTCCATTATTTAGACGCATTCCTTTCTCACACGTATCGAAGCGGTTTGTTGATCAAGACTCATTTCCATTGTTTTCTTTATCTTTTTCCCGGGCGACAATTGATGATTACATCAATGTTTTCTTATTGCTTTTAATATGTTTCTTTTAAGCATGATTAATACATATGCACATTACACAGCATGCTTTTTTTAATAGTGTGTAAAACTTATGTTTGGTTTTTACAATATATATTATGATTTTGAAATATGATTACTTATTAAACTGAACTGCATCTGCCTTTTTCTTATTCCTGGTTTTATATGAACGTCTTCAGAGTCATGAAACCTTTGTTTGATATTGGACGTTGATTCAAAAACCTGATTCGAAGTCCTTTTTGGATTTGCGATTTTTTAAAAACAAATTATCAAATGAAAAGTGTGATATCTATCGATTAGAATTTCAATCAGTCCGAAATATGAGATAGGGTTAAATACTTTTATATGTAAGTTTGATAAAAAGCTACAAAGGGCTAATCATAATGCCGTTTGTGTTATTGGAGTCTTCTGTTTGATTCCTTCTGTTTGCATGTTCGCTGTCTTCTTCGTCTTCTTCGTCTTCTTCCCCGATTTTGCAAGCACTCCGAATTATACCAAAAATTTGCAAAAGTACACATATTCCCTAAAATATAACAAATATTTCAATATTATTTGTGAAACATTATGAAGAAGAAATGAAACCTCGTATGTTTTACTCATTCTCTGTATCTTTGTCTGTGTCAATATTATTCACATCTTTCATAATGAGGCAAAGACACAGAGCACTGTGAAATATCTAATTGTCTATCATACTTAAAATGCATATTCTGAATTGATAATGAAGAATGATTTTGATGAACATTACGGATGAAGGCGATATAGTTCTCAGTCTTGCCAGCTGGGAACATAACATACATGTATTGCAGTCTTTCTAATTATTTTATGACACCGATTAGTGAAATTGAATGGATAAATCAATAAGTATATTGCCTTTAAACTACATGAGTTTACAATATTTTTTAACAAAAAATAACCCCGAATTTCATTCTGACAAAGTACTTAGTACGTCTACATCTGCTTAAAAAGCCATGATTCTGATACTCTATTCGAAATATGATAAATTATTTGTTATTGGCATTCATAAATTTCTTCACGACAGATTTTTATAGACAGCAGACTTACCATTATGGGGAACACTTTTATTTCCTCCTCAAGAACCCCCTTTATTTTCAGTCTCTGTTGCTCTTTCTTTTCAAGTAACTTCTCTTTAACTGTCAAAAAGCACCCCTACATAAAATGGAATGTATATTTTAACCATGCATGTGTACATGAAAGTTATGATATGAAACACATGGAGATAACGAATATTAATCATTATCAAATAATCATTAAGCATTAATCCATTTTTATATTAATAAAGTTATGTTATATATTAAACGGAAGATATTTTTTTGCTTCCGAATCATACATGTATAAAGACTGATTTGAAGAAAAGTAAGAAATAAATTCTAACTTAGACAAAAATATCAAATAATTAGACATACCACATTTTTGTATCTTAAAGGTTTAACAAATGATACATGAAAATGATTAAGAACAATTTTTTTTTTGTTTTTGAGCAAGAACATTTATGGGATCCGTATAACCTTGCCATGTCCATCTTGGATTCTCATACGGAGGAAAAGTAATTATCACCGAATTTTAAATTTGTGGTTAAAAGGCTTGAACTTGAAATAAAAGATAATATAAAGACTCTTGAAAAAAAACCTTCACTTTTGGATTATTGATTGATTGTATATTGTTTAACGTCTCTCTTGAGAATTTTTCACTCATATGGAGACGTCACCGTATGCCGGTGAAAGACTTCAAATTTTGACCTTTACTCGACACTCATGGTCATTGAGCAGCGAGGAGTCTGTATTTTTCTAACGCCTGCCGCTGACACGGGACCTCGGTTTTTAAGGTCTCATGACTTCAAAGTGTCGAGTGCATGCATGGCGAAGGAAGAGTTGCTACCCATATTTTAAAGACTTAGACAGAGATTCGAGATCACGATCTACTGATCACGACGCGAGCATTCTACCGACTGAGCTACCGGAAACGGTTTCACTTTTGGATATTTTAACAGAAAAAGACATTAATGGTTATCAATTTTTATAATATGCATAAAGACTTTTCAAATGTTAATATATCTTACAGAAATATACATAGTAACCGTATTACATGCATACGGATTTGATATCTATATTATAATTATATATGTTTTTAACATAAAAGTTGATGAAACAGTCGATATAATGACAGCAAATATAATTTATCATTAAGTCAAATATAGACTTATGTTTTTCATACTAACTGTTAGTCGATTACATATATTTAAGCACTGAATTGATCACGGATTTTTCTGCTATATTTCGTCCGAGACAAGGAGCACACTGCGGGTGAAACAGGTCGGCAGGGGATGTTCAATCCTCCATGGCACCTGATCTCACCATTGATGTTTTAGAGTTTCCCTTTTCTCTGCTTCAGAGTGGTATTGTGTGAATATCCTTTTGAGCTTTATCAATGTTTGTTATTTTTATGTTTTTTTATTATCATAAAGGGTAAAGAAATATCATAAGACAATGAATGTCTTGGCTCATTCATAAGAAAATGACTTTTAAAAACTATTTGTCCAAGGGTAATAAAGACAAAACAGTAATGATAATAATAAAAAACTATTATCCAAATTTTATAATTTTTTTTATCTTTCGGACAAGACAGTGAATTATTCAAAATCTACGGGTTTAAGATTTTTGATAAAAAGGGTGAATTAATATCAGAATTAATCTTGATCTTCATGGCATCAATGAAACGGGACATTGGAAACTCAGCTGTGTTTCAACAATACATGTGGCAGCAGACAATTTCAGAAATCTACCTTTGTCCGTAAGACAGGAACAAAATGACCGAGGGTAATGTTGGAGGCAAAAAAATGTTATTTATATATTTTTATCTCTCACCTGAGCCGAAGACTCAAATGAGCTTTTCTGATCAAAATTTGTCCGTTTTCCGTCGTCGTTGTCATTGGCGTCGTCGTTGTTGTTGTAATAAACTTTTCACATTTTCATCTTCTTCTCAAGAACCGCCACACCAATTTCAACCAAACTTGATACAAAGTATCCGTGGGTAAAGGGAATTCAAGTTTGTTCAAATGAAGGGGCCACCCCCTCTTCCAAGGGGAGATAATAATGAATTATTTAAAAATTAATTAAAACTTCTTCTCAAGAACCACTGGGCCAGTAAAGATGAAAGTCATTTGGAATCATCCTCATAAAGTGTACATTCAAGTTTGTTTTAATCATGGCCCCCGGGGTAGGGTGGTGCCACGATGACTGATCAAAGTTTTACATAGGGATATTTAGGAAAAATCTTTAAAAATCTTTTTCTCAAGAACCATTGGGACAGGAAAGATGAAACTCACGTTGAATCATCCTCAGATAGTGTACATTCAAGTTTGTTTAAATCATGGCCTCCGGGGGTAGGGTGGGGCCACAATGACCGATCAAAGTTTTACATAGGAATATTTAGGTAAAATCTTTAAAAATCTTCTAAAAAAATCATGGGGACAGGAAAATGAAACTGATATTAAATCGTCCCCAGGTAGTGTACATTCAAGTTCGTTCAAATCATGGTCCCCGGGGGTAGGGTGGGTCCGGAATGGCTGAACAAAATTTTACATAGGAATATTTAGGAAAAAACTTTGAACATCTTCTCAAGATCCATGGGAGCAGGAAATATGACTCACGTTGATTCATCCACAGCTAGTACATAGCCATGATTAGTGATATTTATATGAAAGCATCCTCAGGTACTGTGGATTCTAGTTTGTTCAAATCATGGACCCTAGGGATAGGGTTGGGCCATAATGGAGGATCCAAGTTTAACAATAAAATATATTTTTAAAAATATTTTTCTAATGAATAGCAAAGCCATGATTAGTGATATTTATATGGAAGCATCCTCAGGTAGAGTAGAATTAAGTTTGTACAAATCATAACCTCCAGGGATAGGGAAGGGTCTTAATGTTGGATCAAAGTGTTACATAGGAAAATAAAGGGAAAAATCTCAATAACAGAAGAGCTAAGTTAAGTCATATTGACATGTAAGCATCCTCATGTATTGAAGACTTAAATTTGTTCAAATCATTAGTACCCTTTGGGGTAGGGAGGGAAACAACGGGGAGTCAAATTCAAATTATTACAAAGTAATAGATACAAACAAAATTAAAAAAAAATCTATAAAAATCTTTTTCGCAAGAACTTTCTCAAGAAGTTATATGCAGAATTGATATGGAGGCATTCTTAAGTAGAATTAGAATTAAAGTCCCCTCCCCCACCAACCCTGCCTTCAGTAAACTTTTCAATTCTGTTCTGATTTGTGCTTTTTCCTAACTGATGTGCTCCGATGAGCGATGGGGCCCCTGGGCCTCTTTTTTTTTCTTGTTTTATATTTGATTATAAATGATGATCCAACATTTTCTTTCTTTTAATTGAGGATGTGGTTCTTAAGTATATGAATAGTTTACCTTTTCGTTATATGTTTTCTGGGTGACTTTGGCATGACAGTCGTCATGAGCTGACTGGAGGTCCTCCGAAATGACTCCGAGACAGCAGGACTTTGGAATCTGAGAATTTGTTAGCTGACAGGAACCATTAGTTGTACACCAGGGAGTCGTGTCAAAATCATTAGTTGTCCCGAAGACAGTATTTACACCGCAACATTTGTACTGAAAAACAAGCACATGCACCATCATATTAATGATAGAAATAATGAAAACTAGGGATTTCATATTTTATTCATATATTCCTTGTGATAAGATTTTCGTCATGATACTAACAATTTTGAAATTTTGATTTTGGCCTTTTAGTAGGACCCAAACTGTAATAGAATCTTTAATCTTGGTCGTAATATTTAAACAGTTAGTAATAGGGCTTTCAAATTTTATTGAAACAAGACTTTGTCTTGATACCAAACAATTTGATCTTGGAGTTCGAACATTTTACTTTTTATGAGTGATATATTTAGAGGGGAATTCCAAACAGCCAATCCCACCTCTGATGTTTTGGAGGTCCGTGTCTGCTCTGCTCCTATTTTGTAATGTTGGATTTTTGAACACGAATACTGCTCATTATCTTACATGTAACATACCAATATTTCATTCTTCTACTTACAACACAATGTTATTATAAGTAAAACATCCATGTTACTAGCTGTCATGATGTTCAAAGCATTTCTCTTCTACCAGAGAAGAAAGCATTTAATACATGTAGTTTATATACTTTTTGTTATCTCTTTTTCCTATTCATTTAGATTTCGTCTTTCACTTACTCAAATAAACATCATACTAATCATACTAATTCCGTTGATGAACTTTATAGTTTCTATCTTTCGTTACTTTCTTCATACAAGTTTTGCCTCCCCTATATATACATATACTTACTTCTATTAACATCCTACTCCATTGGTTTGATGTTTCATTTTCACTCTTTATATTATCACTCACAAAATTGCCCGTTAAGGATGATTTCATGTTTGTGTGCAGAGTTTCGAAATTCTGAGATGAAGTGGATAATTTAGTAAACATATATCCTCAATACATTTCTAAAGGAATATTATATAAACAAAACAAATTATTTCACTTACTGTGGAATCATTTTAATTCGTGGGGGTCAATGTTCGTGGGTAAGCAAAATTTTGTTGGTTCGTGGGGACGTAATTTCGTGGGTAAATCAATTATGTAGAAGATTTAATAAATACCAATGTTTACAAAATAAATGTTCGTGGGGGTGTAAATTCGTGGATAAGGGTCCCCCGCGAAATCCACGAACATTGGTTCCCCACGAACATTGATGATTAGAAAATTTCTATTAGAGCTGAAGTTAATCAATTCATAGTTTGACATCTAGATTTAACATAAAAGGTTAAAAAAATATATATTTACCATTTCTTCATTTTTTCCTTGGACAGTGTCTAAAGAACTATAGCAAAAGATCATGAATCCAACAACAGCTAAAGTACTAGCAAGGAAAATCTGTATTAAAAAACATCCTTAATTTATACAATGTTCATTCATTTTGAAGACAGTTATTGGGTTGAATTACATGACGACCGTGCACGGACAATATATTTTCTTGATGTGCGTTGTATTATTTTATTTGATGGAAACTAGTGTTAAAATTAAAATGTTCTACCATGGAGAATGAGTTTCTCAAAACACTTTCCCTACACATTCCATTCACAGTCTGACGCCGAACCCAATTACAAAATATTTTACAACTTGGCATTTATAGTATCATTAACAATTGTTTCAGCAGCAGACGTTAGTTTGTCAGATTCTTTTGCGTATGATGTCTATCGAAAAATAATCGGTTTTTTAAACTTATTTCTTCCTCCTGTCCCTGCTCTATGATGTTCCACGATGTCATCTCTTTCCCACTTTTTAGTGAAGATTTCCAAACTTTTGAAATCATTCTTGTTTAAACCAAATCAAACTATTATGTCAATTTATCATATACAATAGTGAGAAAATTCTCATTCTAAATATCTATTATATTTCGTTTTGCACGTTTTACAGAGATATAAGTGTCGATACTTTCACGTTCATTGTTGAAAAGTTACTTAAGTTTGACCTCATTCCAATTTTCAAAGTTTTAGATTTTGAGTTAGATTGATAGATATCGTGATATTAACAAATTTGAATATATCTTTTAACAAAATTCTATTCAAAATATAACATGCATGATATAATGTACGTAAAAAAAATAATTATGACAAAAGGCCAGGAAGGTTTCGAATATGTATCTCACAACATATGTAAGATTTAAGGCACATACGCTTAAAATTCCAATTTCTGCTTTTTGGTTCCTTTTTGAGCTTATTATGACAATCCACCAGATGCAAAGAAAAAATATAACAAGAAAGAGGAAAATGGACGCAATCACTATAAGGTACAGGGCCAGATCCATCACTTCATCATCAGGACAGTCCTCTGGTGGTGGCACCTTCAGTTTCACTAGTCTGTTATGAACGGAGCACTGGTTTCCTTGATCATTCCTCAAATCAAGGCTTTTGCAGATTAATGGGGTTGTAACATACTGAAAATTATTGAACCTGCATATTAACTCGGTAATTATTTAAGGTATCAAACAAGAGTATATAACCTTTATGAGACTTTAAACGATGTCCAATCTTCTTGAACTATGAGTAAATTTTCACGCTGAGTTATTTCAGACGCATCACAGTACTTTTATTATTTACCCTTCTTGTAAATAACTTAAAATAGGCATTATATATGATGGCTTATTTTTCTGGCAATCTTTAAAATGCAACTAAGAATATCATATTTCGACACATATATTTGTATTAATGTAAACAAGCAAAAACACACTTACACGTATGTTAACAAAAAATTTAACCGAAAAAAAACATATTTATTGTGTAAGAAGTATTTTGTATATAAGAAAATACAGTACAAAAATTTTCTTTTGATACTGTTTAAGCCTAAACGACTTATATGATCTGTAGTACGTGCTAGTTTTGTATTTTTCTAAGCCCCTTTTTTCGATAAAATAGAGCTTTTAATTTTCCATTTCGTTTGTGTTATAAAATCAGGAATGAAAATTGCAAATTTAAAAGTGTTTAAGAAAAACATTTCATCAATTTGATTTGTTTTGTTTTCATGTGTATGACAGTCTGGTTAGTCTGAACATTTATTTGTGTGTATAAATGTGAAATCAGTCTATACATGGAAATGACTTCAATTCTTTTTTATTCCAATTTGTGTTAGTATGAAAATTTTTAACTCTAAAATTTGAACAGTAAATCCTCTGAAATGCCAAATATTTTGAGTCTCGAAATGAAAAAAATTCGAAACAAATTGACAAAGCACTAATATCCTCTAAGACATGGATTTAAATAATTTATAAAGCTTATACACTAACTGATTTCTTAATTAAAATATGTTTGCAATACTAACCGATACAAAAACTCCAGCAATAAAGACACAGCATGGGAATGTCTGCAGCAGATCCCGGTTTGCCATCATATAACCAGAAGTAATCTTTGTTTTTCAAGCTGTTGACCTTAAGCATTAAAAGAATATGATTTCAAAATTTTCTGACCTTTTACTTTGGAAATTAATACATTGTTTTAGTTTTGTCGGTATACTTAGCTTTTATGATTTAATCAAAAGTACCCATATATTAAAAATATCATTTTGATTTGTATCTGAATTTAAATATACAGGTTGGTACGTAATCAATCGATAGACTTTATTGGATTTGATAATATGATAAATCAGTACAGAGTATTTTCATTTGGATAAAATATTTTTTTTGAATAGCAGATTTATCAAATGTTCATAGCCCCTCATGTTTAATTTTAGCATTTCATTTGCACCTAACTTTTTAAAATTAGCTTTTCTGTTACATCAATTGATATATCTTTATCATAAACGTAATGGCTTTAACTTTTCAATCATCAGCCTTATATATTTTCTGAGACTTATGCAGCGATATGCCCTAATGGCCCTATATGGAGCTTAAACATGTATCTCCCAGTTACTTTTAAAATATGCAAGAGCATGGTTTACACATGTACAATTCTTAAAACGATATAAACTATTGAAAAACAAATTGCTGAAACAAGAATATCAACAGTTTGTTTTTAGGTCACCATTTCATAAGCTCTATGGTCGATTCAGTGACCTTGTCATCAAATACAAAATGTATCATTAAACCAAATGCTGATTGACCTTTTTCATATTAATTATTAGGCCATTATAAACACACTAAATTATCTACGGATTTTTCCCGTTTTTTTTCGATCATGGAAAGGGGTAGATGGAGGATATAATCGATCAGCAGAGGATGCTTACACCTCCATGGCACCTGATCCCACCTCTAGTGTTTTGGGGGTCCGTGTTTGCTCTGCTTCAATTTTGTATTGTTTAATGGAGCTTGAATACTGCTTGTTTTCTCCATATATTTCATATAAACAACAGAGTTATTTTTAAATTTTACTTATTTTCGTGTAAAAGTGTTATCCTTGCAGTTTTTCTATTTTTTCATCAGCTAGCTATATCACTAATGCTTCCATTATTTTCCCTAGAATTATGGTTTGATATTAGTTGACTTTACCCTGAAGATTTCATATTTTAAAAAATGAATATATCTTTCTTAACGTAGAGTATTAATCTTCACATTCTTACATTTTTATTTTAATATCCACACAAAACCTACTTACCTTTTTGATAATATGATTTCAACAAAACTATATTATAACAACCTTTGGGTTTTTTATATATATTTTTATATTTATGTTACACTAATCTTCAGGATTAAAAAAGTTTCCATTTCACAACAAATAAAGACACCAAAACTCTTACACCTCTGTTTCATATCTGGATTTTGTATTAGAAAATTTGTCAATTTAACAACAATTTTTTCAATTGTAAAATTTCCTCAGCTTTGTAGCAATTTACCATTATCAATCACAAATGAACCTTATGCCTCCCAGTTTATTCGATCTGTACGTAATCTATTGAAATATATATTGATAAAACAGTACTATAATCAGTCTCGAGTAAAGTCATTATTTTGTAAATTCATGATTGGTCAATGAGTTAGCATGTAACATATAGGAAATACAGTCAACTGGCTAATTTCAAACAAATTGTTAAAAGCTAGTCATTATTTTTACGCTGAATTAACTTTTTTACGTTTGCTGGAAAGACAAGTACGGTTGGTGTGTCAGGTCTACAGGGATACTTCTCAAAAGCACCTGATCCCACCTCTAATGTTTTAGAGGTCAGAGTTATCTCTTCGACAAATTTGTATAATTGAACCTTTGAACTTCATTCAGAGTTATTTTCTATTTAAGCGTTATACTCTACCAAAGGATGGATAGGATATGTCTGATAAAAACTTATGACCCAAATATCGAAGATTCGGGGGTATATAGTTTTTGCCCTGTCCGTCAGTCTGTACTTATATTTGTCTATTGTATGCTTATATGTTCGTCTGTTTGTCCGTAAAAATTTTAACCTGTTGCGTTATTTCATAGGTGTATTCATGGTGACAATTCCTTTCTTCGTGTACCACCAAATTTTACCGCTTGACTTTGGAGTTTGACCCATTTTTACCAATATTTGAGGAACTATAGTTTGGCCACATCTTTTGAATAGTTTAGTCCAAGGCTTTTATTAATTCACTGCACTGTGACAAGGCATTTCAATGGGTATAAGAATATTAAACCTCCTTGCCATGACTTTAGAGTTTGGCCCACTTTTTAAAACTTTAACCTTGACCATAACTTTTGAACTGATAGTACTAGGGTTTGCATGTATCACGGGTACAGTGTATATTCCTTGTGACAAGATCTTCCTTTGTATATATGTACAAACAAATAATTTGACCTTTTGACCTTGGAGTTGCATTTAGGAAAGCCAGTTTTAAACTAAAATATGCTACTTACAAAAATAAGTTTATTTCAATTTTAACATGATTTTGTATACATTGAACATGACATAATTTTCTCTTCAGTTAATGTATTATCACTAATTAAATGCGTCATCTTTACCTTACCCCGTAATTTATTTGAAAAATAGCCAAAAGTCAACATATTTTTTTTCAATAATACATATATAGAGCACAATCTTTGATCCAAAATATTCAATTACATAATGAAAGGCGTGTTTCTGAAGATGAATAAATGTTTTAAATCGGATCGAGGCCAGGCCTTTAATTGTGACCATAAAACAATAAACTTCTAAGAAAATAATTGAGTTGAGAACATTTTTGTCCGAGAATTTGTGGTCACAAAGCCTGTGCCAAAAAATCTTCTTTATCTTTACCTTTTTCGTTTATCTTCAGAAACAATATTTTACGGATTTTTGTTTTCTTAAATAGGTTCCTATTCATATTTTACGTCCGATTATGAATATTTAATTCCAGCCATATAAGGACGAAACCTACTGCTTTTCGAGTGCTGTAAACTTAGATTAAAGTCTTTTAGGCAGTTCTTCGATTGTCTCCATCTCCTGAGATACTCTCTTAAAAGGACAGGTCTCCACCACACAAAATGGGATATGATTGATTCCTTGCTTTTCTTCACAGCGAAAATTATATTCATAGGGATATATTTTACAAACTTGTAAGTATAGAAAAATGACGATTTTAAAGTTGAAATACTGTTTATCAAAAGGAAACAATTGTAAAATCAATGCACGAATGTTTTTTTTTAAATACATTCATTCATTCAATTTATTTAGATAACTGAACCTTTAAACAAATGCATTTTTTATAAGGAAGTTCATTTGTTCGTTTTTGCCATTCATTTGAGGTAAATATTTTCCTGTATTTAAATGTCTGTCATGGTATCGTACTTGGGCGTATTTCATTTAAACACATATGTCAGTCTCTCCCATGTTTACTCCTTTATCCAGTGGATATGAACCTTTTGGATATTTTTCGTATCCCACAGCTGTGATTCTAGTTGATAAAATATGGGTAAACGAATCTCCAATGACTTGTAGAGGATTTTGATTTTCATCCAAATCGTTGTGTGCTTTATCCCTTCTCCAAGGCTCAGAGATAAAAATACACACAACTCATTGGAGATCCTATCTATAATGAATGAAAATGCATATTTAAATGCCGTTTTTCAAGGTCAATTTATCTAACGTCGCAATTTATATAATTAACAAAGAAGACATAAATAATATTCTTATTAGCTGGTTTTTATTGGGTAGGAAAATGAACTATGTGTCTATTTTTTGTCCAAATGTATTAAATACAACAATGAAAGAATCTATGGTAATTTTGCTATGCAGCTTAGTATTCAATTGAACAAATGAGTACATTTCTTCTAGTCAAGGATTCCAATTATTCAATACATTAAATCATATTCAAATTTAATTTGTTGCACAATCTGAAAAAGGCGAAAACAACGAACAGTGATTTATCTACAAAATAATCTACAGACAAAACAAATATGTGAACAGGGCATAAAGGTAACAACACGAGCACTATGGACTTTTGTATTCTATTCCAGAGGTTCAATCAGATGTCAAGGAGGAGTATGCATCCCGTGTAGACATGTGTTACCCGCTGTTACCCCCACAAATTAGTATTGTAGAGGAAAATCCTAAATACTTAACTTCGAAAATACCTTGGTTCGAAAAATTGTTTATATGAAAAAAATCACCAAGTAAAATTGTGTTTTGTATTGATTTTACAAAACACGTGCACACTGCTAAAACTTGTTTAAATCGTAAATTTAAAGACTATACTTACCTCTGGAAATCGGAATGATTTTAAGACGCAGAAAGAACATGCAGAATATTATCCTGTTTTGCAGGTTTCTCAATAACCTTTAAATTTTAATGCAGGTATAACTTCCCTCTCCTATTCAATGTCACAAAATGCCTACTTGAATGACTTCAGCCTTATCAACATTCATTGTTTGAAAGAACATTAGTCTTAAGTCTAAAATTTCTCATATAGTACTCAATTATGGTTGTACAGCCGATTAGACAAATAACGATACACCATAATGCATTCCTTGTCCACCATTGAAAAACAACATGTGTTATGTAATAATCGATTCGATTGACCTAGATTCATATTATTATTAGTTTTTTTTTTTTTTTTTTTTTTTTTTTTGCTTTTCCTTGTGCAGAAAAAATTGTTTTAAACTGTTTTTAAGTGTACAAATCATTAATTTGTTTTTGCATTTATGATTTGAATTTCTTTCACAGACCTTTTTTAACATTTTAGGTCAAGCTCTGGTAAATCTAAGGTGCCGCAAGATATTCCTATTTAAAAACGAAACTTTACAAATATTTTTCGGTAAAATAAGGTAACGAACTATATTCAATATCAAAGTCCATAAAACAATACATAATAGGAACAGAGCAAACACGAACCCCCAAAACATCAGAGGTGGGATCAGGTGCCATGGAGGAGTAAGCATTCCTTGCCGACCGGTCACACCCGCCGTGTGCTCCTTGTCCTGATCAGGAAATAACGGGAAAAAAATCCGTCGTCAATTCTGTGTCTAAATAATGGACTAACAATTGGTATGAAAAACGTCAGTCAGCATTTGACTCAGTGATAAATTGTATTTCCTGACAAGGTCATTGTATTGACCATAGAACTTACAAAAGAATGACTTTAAACTAAACTGCCGATACTCTTGTGTCATTAACTTGTTTGTCAATAATTTACCTTGTTTTATAAATTGTTCATACCTAGAGCATGCTCTTTCGTATCAAATTAACTGAGATACATAAACTCCGTATGCAGATGATGAAGGTATATTGCTACATAAGTAAGGGAAGTTGATGATAGAAAACTTAAAGTCATCACGTTTATCATATAGCTTGGGTTGTTAGATTACCATTAATGTCTTTTTCAAGTACTTCAGAGTACTTGTGTGTACAATCAAATGTTTGTAACATATAAAGAATTTCAGCTTTCATGTACTTTATTTTTTCATACTTTCATTACACATATCATCGTGTTTGTTTATATTAGAGGTCAACTGGACGCAGAATTGCTTCACAAAAACAGAGTCTAATTTTTTCATAAAGTTTAAAAATATAACGACTGAACCAAAAATACAATTTCATATTCGGATTGATATCAGAACGCAAAGAGATTCTAATGCAAAATATATAAGCAAACGTATTGCTAACAGATGAGATGACGTACATTATACATTAACAATGAGAGGATTAAAATAATTACTGGCAGTATTTATAGGAATAGCATTTGTTATGGTTACTTCAACATTCTCAGGAATGAGGGTTGATCTTTTGTTTTTCTGTTACTCGATATCCACAACAATTGGCAAATATTTCAAAAACAGATATGATTGCACATACAGCCTGTAAAACGAAAAAATATCAACAGCTTAGATTTAACAACAAATATTAAAACATTTAGAAACAAAATTGAAATGCTTTAAAAGTATTATCACACAAACAATTGATAAATATGATCAATCTTGGTGTGTATTTGATTTGAATACATTGTATCATTTCTGAAAAAAACTAATGTTCCTGTTTAATTAGGGTATGTAAACTTTAGAGAGTAATTTATGTAAGATTTTACCATCATCAGTACAACACGGAATCCTTCACTTAGAACATGGTCTATATCTACATCTCGTTGATTTCTATTCTCCGTTAGTTTCTCCTGTATAGCTTCCAGACAACCCTAATATAATTATACGTTAATAATATCAGAGAAATGGCATTGAGTACCCCCCACCTCTCTCTCTCTCTCTCTCTCTCTCTCTCTCTCTGTTTCATTGTTTACCTTTGTATTAAATTTATCGGCGGCGCTGCCATGACAAGAAGCCGGTGCTGATTGGTAGTCGTCCTTAGTTACACCAATACAACATGCTTTAGGGATCTGAGAATCTGTCCGTTGACAAGAACCACTTGTGGTGCACCAAGGACTGGTATCGAAATCATTTGTAGGTCCGGTGACTGCATTCACAGCACAACACTCGAACTTAACAACACAAAAACTCTATTAAGACGTCTACATGTAGGTGTTATTCACAATACGCTGTATTCGCTACATATTGATTTTTAAATGTAAACATATAGTACTGCAGCATAAGTAGCCAGTTTTGCAATATGTAATATAAGCACAATTTTTGGCAGAAAAATAGACATTAATAAATTCTTTCACATATTTCATCTTCTATCTTGGTTTAAGATAATAAAAGTATTATAGGAATTATAAGTAAAATATGTTTAGTGCTTTAATTAACATATCCATATGATATCACATTCTTAGGTAATACACCAATGTTTTGATAAGATGAAACAGAGATAAACTATCTTTGCCTTAATCTTAATCAAAAGTGAATTAAACGCAACCCTCTTATCTACTCCCCAGGTGTTCATAAATTCAATATTTTCAATGTTGTGATGCTATAAAGCAAAAATATATATTGCTTTATATAAAAGATGTTGAATAAAAATTCAACAAACATACATATAAACATTGATTTACAACTATCAAATTCTTTGGTATCTCAATAATCAATAATATCTTACGTCGATAAAGAACATGTTCCATTCGTTCGACGTCACATTTGCACTGCTGATGTCATCACTGACGAAATTCGTGTCAAGAGATGATTTCATGGCTATCTTCAGAGTGTTGAAGTTCTAGAAATAATTTAGTGATCAAAAATATGTGTCTCAATCGTCCAAACGACTTTATATAGATCGCTTTAATTACAACTTTTTTTTTAAAATTACGACTTAATAATTAATAACAACTCAAGAATTGACCAAATCCTTCAATTTGTATGCCATATACAACAAGACGATGTTTAATCTTACCACAGCTTTGTTTCTTGCTTCATAGAGGTTGTTGTAATAAAAAGAAGTCGAAATGGTCAATGACGCCATGACAAGAAACATCTGTATGTACAAAAGACATGGTCTTGGTTTATATCGATAGGAATTACTGTCATAATAAATCTTAATTTTTCGGTAAGCAAAAATAACAACAAAGGTGATTTAGACTTACACAGACAAATAAAATTGTTGTTGGATATGATAATGAGCTTGAAGTGGAAAAGAGAATGAAACCTCTAATGATGATAAGAAAAACTGTGACGAAAGCAAGAAATAAGGACGTTGTCAGTAGCAGTCGGAAGGCCCATTCCTTGACATCGTCATGATCACATGTACCTAGCGATGACACCTTTAGTTTAGACATTCTGTCGTAAACTGCACAATTGTTGTCGCTACTGTCCATTATCACTAAACATCTGTAGATCAATGGCGAAGTACTAAGCTAAAAAGAACAAAGACCAGGCAATTTTTGTTAAGAAATAATTGTCGTCTATATCATAGTTAACTGAATGTCATCTCTTTATCAAATCTAAAAATATTCCAAAAAATTGTTTTAATCTAATATATTCCAATAGCTTTGTTTCCCATGATATTTAGAACTAAGCTTAACATGTGCAAAGGAATCTTTGAATGTTATTTTTAATATATATATAATATTACCGTGACAATCAAGCCAACAAACAGCAAAAAAAATGTTTTCAAGAGCGTTTTGGCAGTCATCTGAAATTAAATAATCTAAATGATGTTAAATATTTGTCTTTCCAGCGATTGCAAAATGTTGTGATATATAGTTATAACCATATGTGAAAAATAACCGTTATTCGATTTTAGCAATCTTATCATCTAGCTAATAAAACATAAATTGATCAAGGTTAGTAAACCTGGCGGATAAATTCAAGGCGTGATATTTTCATAGACAAAAATAACATATATATGGTTTTTAATGTGTATTTTTGATTTGATTTATGTCTTGCATATCTACATTTTTGAAGTTCAGGTAAGAAATGATAACAAAATAGCAATTTACTGATAACTTAACGCGAAAACTTTGCGAGAGTGATTCACTATCGTACTTGCACCATAACAGAAAGCCTAAAAATCTGTAGCCTTCTCCCCAAAAGGGAGGCATTCATTATTGCAGCTATCAAATTGAGAAATACTCTCTGAAATATAATATTGGAATATTTGATCGATGCACATTTCTCTAATAATAGGGAAGATATAGTCTTTTGTATTTTGAAGCAGGTATAAGAAAAGCAAACAAATCTTGAAAAAATATTAATTTAAAGGAATTTTGGGAAGAAAATACTCTGTTTTAATGTGAAAAACTGTCATTCCTTTTACCCACTTGGTATCACCACAGATTGTGTAATAAAGATTACTATTATACTTTACATCACAATTATTAATGGACCATTCAGAATTTTAAAAAAATAAATCCTTTCGACTGATATTGCTCACTTCACCGTGAAATTGATGTTTAAAGGAGCGACAGGATAATGGTGTAATGAAGGTGTCTTAGCATATCTATCTTATCGTCAACTGGCAATGAAAGTTATTTATTTTTAATGAATATTTATAATATCTATTGAATTTGAAATTTGATTTTCATCTCAATTCATGCCATAGAAGTCGAATTTCCTAAGGGCACTCAAGTCCCTTGCAATAATTAAATATATTTTTAAACAGGGAGCCGAGGAACCACATGGAGTGGTATCAAATAAGTGTTGGGGGGAGTAAACATTCCCCTTGTGACCCGTCCAATTCAACGTCAGCTTTCCATTTTGACCTTGAAGGGGTGTAATAAGTTGACAAATTGTACATAAAATGGTATAACAATCGGTGTGAAATATGAATTAATGAAAAGTTGTTTTGTTATCAAATCATTGGAACAAAGTTGGTATATTACATTCATGTTCAGAAATAATAAAAAAGAAGAACTTAAGGTGTACATTGCAATATCCCTCTGTTCATTCATTTAATTTTTATGCTTGTGATTTTTCTAAAAGAAGTCTTATCTTTCATGAAAAAAAACGCACATAATTTTAGGATACCTGTTAGAGTAAAATTTTGCCGATATGGCATGGGAACTTGGCAATTTCATAAAGTAATACTACATGTAGTTACCGTATGGTGGTTTCTTTAGCCGGTGTGAAATTTGGAGTTTTGCTTGCAAAGGTATACCAATAATTTTGGCATAACTATTTTTCGCGAACAAAAACATATGTTTAAACACCAATTTACACAAAAGTTTGAGTAAATACAGTACCAAAAGAAGTTATATTATAGTTTGCAGTTAAGTGTAAAGTATCACTTTACGTCACGATCTAGTTGACAGCTGCGCTCAAGGTAGATTGTACACGCCTCCTAACCGCAAGCTTTTCCACTGGAACTTTCTTCTTACCTCTGATTGGTTGCTCGTGCAATAGACTATTTTCTGTGTCAATTTTGATAATTTGAGTTGACCAATCACTTGAATTGTTAATGCTGGATGCAACTGACGAAAAATATCGTGACGCAATGTAAAACTTTACACTTAACTGCAAACTATAATATTGCATATCGACAGGCTAATCAAAGTTATACATGTATAAGTGATTCTGATCGTAGTCATAAATGATAATGATAAATTCCTATTTTTACATGAAGGCTGCACATAGAGTATTTTGTGCAGTGAGATGTCCTATGCTGGTCCTAAATTATATATTAAATTAACTGTCATGAATTCAATCATCATATTTGGCAAATATATCAAATAAATGATGAAAGTCTTTGTAGCAAAAATTCCCAATTGAAGCTTTAAGATAGCATTATTTTTTAATATCTAAGAATTAACATTACAAACACAAACTTTTTATTTCATTTTCTGAATACATACATGTATATTCTGAATACATTCTGAATACATGTATATAAAATAATTTTAACCATTCTCCTTAAATACGGGAAATATGTCATTACTTTCAAATGATTTTATTGCTTTCTAGATTTCTAACTCAAGAAAATTTACATTTTCTGAGTGCAGAAAAGTCAAATGATATACTTTGCAAAGTAGTTGAAACTAATTTTGTTGTCACAATATTTAATATGACTACATAAGATGAAAAGAAAAACTTATTTGGTCCAATTATTCATTTAGATAAAAAATATGAAAAGAAAAATTGAATTATATGTTAAACATAATTACACTGAAACATATGAAGATATCGAACAGTATTCAAGATAAAAAGTCCATAAGTGCAAAAAGGTCATATCTATTGCTCCGTAACGCTAAAAGAAGCGCACAGACATCAATGTTTTGTTTAGATATTTTATCAAGCTATATGTGTAGATTCTAAAAATATACTTGACAAAAAATCCACAATACTTTTGATATCAGGAGCCAACCTCCTGAAGTCAAATGATAACTGACTTTTTCTTTATACATATAGGGGCTGTAAGTCTGGGTTTTTTTTACTTCCGGTGAAGGCCATTATTTGCACACTGAATTATCGACGGATGTTCTGGCATTTCCCGATAATGACAAGGAGCACACGGCGGATTTGAATTATTGGCAGGAATTGTTCATTCCTTCATTGCACCTGATCCCACCTCCCATGTTTTGAAGGTCCTTATTTGATCTGCTCAAAAGCTGTATTGTTAATGGACTTATGACCTTGAATAATGTTCTTTATCTCCATACATGTACATTTCATCTGAACAGTAATCTATGTTCAATATACATATTTCTAACGGAGCTGAAGGGATATAGGAACTAATCTGACATTCCTCTGACTCTAACCCTTGTAGAAAACTCAGGAAATAATATATTTAAACGAGACAGCTTATATTCTTATTACAGCAACTTGTTTGTCAATAATTTACCTTCTTTTATAAATTGTTATTCGTATCGATGCTCTGGCGTATCGAATCAACTGAGAGATAAAATTTCCGTTTGCTGGTAATTAAGGTATATTGCTACATACGTAAGCTAGGGAAGTTGACATTTGAAAAGTTCAAGTCATCGCGTTTATCATTAAGCTTGGTTGCTAGATTTCCATTAATGCATTTTTCAAGTAAAATACATGTATCTTAATATGAAAAATATTTATCAAACTCTGTGGTATCTTTTTATTTCAACCTCACCGATATATTTTGTTTCGACATAAGAATGGAAATAACCATGAAACAAATGATAAAAACATAATAATTGGGGAAATTCAATAGATAGACAATATTTATGGCTTTAGAGTTGAATATAAACTTTTTAACGAAAAAGACTCGAATTGTTTTTGTATATTTTACCAGTTCAAATCATTATTTTAAATATCCTCAGGAAAACAATCAATTTTAGCGTCCTTCACTTAAACAAAAATCAAGAAAAGCCAGCGAATTTTTCTTTTTAAAAATTATGTGTTTAGGTTTATATAGTTTTTCTCAAGGATATGGTGATAACGAACAATATTTAATTTCAAAGTCCAAAAAACAATACAAAATAGGAGCAGAGCAAACACGGACCTCTAAAACATCAGAGGTGGGATCAGGTGCCATGAAGGAGTGAGCATCCTATGACAAACGGTCACACCCGCCGTGTGCTCATTGCCTTGATCGGGAAATAACGGGAAAATCCGTCGTCATTGAGTGTATAAATAATGGACTAACAATTAGTATGAAAACCATGAGTCAAAATTGACATGAAATGCCATACATTGGTAACTAACAAATAAATGGATAATTTTTTCACATCTTGTTTAATTAATTTCCATTTGGTAAGCTGAATAATTATCGCAAAATAAATTTTCGTATCGAGTTTAACTAACTACGATGCACAGCTAACATACCTTTGAAATATTAGCTGATTACTCAGTATTTCGCTGAACATTCGTTTACCCCGGTTCTTCTTAATCCATTCAAGCAATTTGAAGTTATGAATCTAAACGCATCCCCGGCTGCAATTTCAATTATCTTTTGTTCATGGGTGACCCATTTTCATTCACTTCATTATCATAACCAACAATTTTAATGTGTTCGAATTTTTTATGAATTTCTGACCTACCTTCTCAACTGGTTTCCAAATTTTTTTGTCCAATATTTTTTTTAAATATTAAAACACACATTGACATAGATACTCTAGATGTAAAATAAATACATACACACTACTCTTGCTTTTAAAAAAATAGCATTAAACATAAATTATCTTTAATTATCAGATTAACTAATTCAGTTATATTTCTACCAGTTTTCAACTTATGATTCCTTCAAAAAATAAAGGGCACGGTATTATTATACCCCTGCCTGAAAAGTGGTAAGATATATAGTGATCAGGATGTCCGTCTGTCTGTACTTCCATCCATGAGTCTATCACGCTTTGAGGTACTCCTCTTATACCACAGAATAAAATCTAATGAGAATTTCACACAATCTTTTTACATAGTGCCATTTGTGCGAATTTTGTGTTTCTCATAGCAAAACATGAGAGTACCATACTTTCTATAGTATTAAAGGGTACTCATCTCTTACCCGCGACTTGTTTTTATGTTATGCAACTCTATCTCGTGAATTACTTGCATGTGTAGAGTTGCAATTATTTTTAGTCGGCACTTACGGCCATTGAGTAGTGAGTTGTTTTTTTTTAAATTTATGTGAACAAAAGGTAAAAAAAGAAATCAAAATAGAACCTGTAATTCTTTGAAATGTAGAAAAATGGGAGTTTAGGCAAACCTACCTTCAGCG